AGCCGCATCTTCACGGAAAGCGAAAGACGTTGGCCGGTAATACAAGCAAAGCTTGCTCTCTGCTTTCCGAACTTTTAAACCTTACATCTTTATGTCTAAATGCCTAGTGCATACGGATCACAGATCTCTAGCTTATGTACTGAAAAAGTCAGCAGCGCATCCCAATCTTGCCCGATGGATCACTGAACTCCAAAATTGTAATGTCACTATAGAGTTTATAAAAGGAGAACATAACCGAATGGCAGTTCTAGCTACTTTGTCCAATGCTGCGTTGCCTGGTGGTCACTCTGCTGGCTACTTTTGGGTCTGTTTCTTCTCATAGAGGCTCCCCCGGTAGAAATTCTTAGCAAGGATTTAGCTATTTTGAGATATCTCCGGTGTATGTTGAGCATCACTACTTCTTGATCGTTGGTACTTCCAAGCTATCCTGATGAGTTGGTACTTCCAAGCTCGTTGGTACTTCCAAGCTATCCTAAGGGCTATCTTTTCGACCAAGAGAAACTTAAGGAGCAAAACAGCCAAAATTATTTTTCGCATGATTTGTGGTGCTAATTGTTTGATCTGCTGTTGTTTCATCATCGCGTTTCTTCTCGCTACATTGGTGCAACTGCTGGTAACTTCTCCATTCTTCTCTAGTTTTGGGCCTCTCTCATCCACACTTAATTCCATATAGTCGTTCAGGCTGGTGGCATTTCATGTGTTTTTCTAACACTGTATAAATACCATTCAGTAATCTGCTTTGTCATTCTGTTGTCTCTCATTCTTGCCACATGACCAGCTGAACATTGATTATTTATGCTGATGCAGCTGGCAACTTCTTCATTCTTCTCTAATTTTGAGCCTCTCTCATCTACGCATAATTCCATATAGTCGTTCAGGCTGGTGGCATTTCTTGTGTTCTTTTAACATTGTATAGATAAAATTCAGTAATCTACTTTTTCATTCTGTTGTCTCTCATTCTTGCCACAGGACCAGTTTAACACTGATTATTTATGCTGATGCAGCTAGCATCTTCTCCATTCTACTCTGTTTCGGGCCTCGCTCATCCGCACATAATTCCATATAGTCGTTCAAGCTGATGCTCCCCACCGCAGTGGTGGCATTTCTTGTGTTCTTTTAACATGGTATAAATACCATTCCATAATCCGCTTTGTCATTCTGTTGTCTCTCATTCTTGCCACGTAACCATCTGAATACTGATTATTAATGCTTATGCAGCTGGCAACTTCATTCTTCTCTAATTTTGGGCCTCTCTCATCCGCACATAGTCCCATATAGTCGTACAAGCTGATGCTTCCAACCACATTGGCGGCATTTCTTTTGTGCTTTTGAAATCATATAAATACCATTCCATAATCCGCTTTGTCAGTCTGTTGTCTCTCATTCTTGCCACATTGACTATTCCTCATATATATATATATATTTTTTGCTTGTGGGC